AAAAATCGATAAATTCCTACGAACAACAAAAATCAAGAAGATCTAAACAAAAGAGAAGACGGCACAACAACTAAACAACCAACAAAAAACTGTCATCACCTCCTCCTATCACCTCCTATCAACTTCATTTCCGCATCTGCCCCCTGTCCCCCCCCCCCTCTGGCCCCAAACAGCCCCAAAAAAAGAAGAAACAAAGACACTTTTTCGAAATATAAAACAATGGAATCAAACAGAACTTTTGATAATAAATCTTTCGAAAAAAAAATCAGATTGGTTTCCCTTTTCGTCAAGAATTGAGAAGACAGAATGGGTGTGGTGAAGTGATATCGTAACCTTGTAAACAATGCCAAAAAATAGTATGAGAAAACAGGAGATTTAGAGATATTGAAGACTTTTTTTAGCGTTAGAAAGAGAAAGAAGAGGTTTCATACCATCTCCTCATGATGATGATGGTTTGAGGGGTAGGGGGACTGTCATGAAGACGAGAACATCGTCTGATTGATGGTATATTGTTCCCCCCTACTGGGTGAAATGTGTTGGGGAAGTGCGGGAAAAAGTACAAAAGAAGGGTTTCCAGCAAATATTTGTGGAGACGGGAAGGGTGGAAAGAGGAAGGGCAGAGTCTCAAAAATCATGTCAAACAGGAGACATTTTGTAACGGTTTTCTATAAAAGGGGAGCTGGTTTTTGGAATTTTTTCAACGTTCGGAAATTTTGGCTGACTAATATTTGGGTAAACGAACGGTGTACAAGTTGGAATGGTTGTGTACTTTTTTGGGTTTGGCCAGGAATTTTAAGCTTGTAAACTGTTTTCAGGGAAAATACTCATCTAGAAAATCTGGGAAGTCGTGAGCCAGTTGAAAATATAAAATCTGAGAAATTGAAAGAAAAATGCTATTTCAAATCGCTTCGACCCGGAAAACCGAAGTTTTAGGATCCAAATTTTCGAAGAATTTTTGGGTTTTTCGAATTTTTGACCCCATTTTTTGATACAAATCTATATAGATATTTATACCAATCGATAGAAAATCAAATTTCCTATCAATTGGTATAAATATCATATAGAGTTTTATCAGAAAAATATTGGTTCAATCCTGGAAAATCAAAATTTTAGGATCCAAATTTTAGAATTTTCCCAGTTTTCCCCATTTTGACCCCATTTTTCTGATACAACCCTATATGATATTTATACCAATCGATACGGAATTTTATGATCTACCAGCTCAATTATTTCTAGTACCAAGCTGGCGAAATTTAGCCGTCCAGGGTCCAAAAATGGTGTCCGAAATTGCAGACAAAAAATTTGAAACAACTCAAAATTGGTTGGATTTTTTTTCAATTTTTTTAGAAACCCCAATTTTCAGAATTCTTCAATTTTTCATATTTTCCAGAGAAAAAATTCATTTTCGAAAAATAATTCTAAGGTTCCTGTGTTCAAAAATCGAAAAAAAGTTGAATTTTTGCATTTTTTTTTTATATTTGTAAGATTTTCTGAGAAAAATTCAGGAGCTGAAAATTTTTGATTGAGCGGTGCTTTTCAGCTTGTAGAGCTTGAAAAATCCCATCGATTGGTATTAAATATAATAGGTCTGTCATGAAAAATGTGGCTCCAAAACAAGGGGAAGAACTTATTTTTCAAAATTTTTGAATTTTTCGTTTTTTTTTTTCATTTTTGACCCTTTTTTGCTGATACAACCTTAGATGATTTTCATACCAATCAATAGAAAATCAAATTCTCTATCGATCAGTATAAATATCACATAGAGTCGTTTCAGAATCATCCAAGACCGCAAAACTAGAGGACCACATCCAGAAGCAGTAGTAGAACAAAAACACACACCATAAAACACATCATAAATATGTATGCAGTAGAAAAAAAACGAGAAAGAAAAAAAATATACATAAATCAAAAATAGCTTGCTGCCAAGTGAAACTTAATCTCACCCCTCCCCCCGTCCGACCACGGGGAGAGGAGAAGCAATAAAGTATACCAGCGGAATGCATAAATCATAACTTATCTCCTCCGTTTTTCTGAGGGAGGACAGTTGACGGAGAGACAACAACAACCATACAAATTAAATGAGCACAACACAGGAGCCAACCAAAAATTGATCACCCAATAAAAAGTTGGCGAACACTCTCTTTGCATTTCAAAGTACATTGAACAGGAGGGAAGATGGAAAAAAAACCCCAGGGTTCTAGGGTTTAGGGGGTGTCGTCTGAAAATTCAAAAAAAAAAAAAAATTACCACCCTATACCCCCGGGGAGGTAACCTCCTTCTCTCCCTCCCCTCCTGTACGCCCTTCACACCCTGCCGAAATTGTGGCCGCGTGGCGCAATGGATAACGCGTCTGCCTACGGAGCAGAAGATTGTAGGTTCGAATCCTGCCGTGGTCGAAACTTTTTTGTTTTTTTTTTGGTTTTTTTTTCTTTTCTGCTGCCAGGCTTGTCAGTGCTTTTTTGCTATTTTGAGGATTTCTACGCCGGAATTTTGAGTTTTTCGTCTCCAGGTCCTCTAGGAGTCTAGGATTCATAAAATAAGATTTTTTTCTAGAATATTCTCCGAATCACACTACACACTTCTCCAATTTTCTCTCGAAAAAAAAACCCGTTCCACTCGTCATTTTTTTTCAGCTTCATCCATCCCATGACCCCAGCCCCCTGTCTTACCCTTTGGCCCCTGTCTCCCCACTAAGATCAACTGACTCATCTCATTGTGACCCCCGTATACAGGTTGGTTAGCATATTAGTCGGATTGGAAGCGAGAAGGAAAGAGAGAGAGAGAGAGAGAGAGAGAGAG